GGACTTAATCACCAAGGTCCACAAGAACATCATAAAATCAGGTTAAAAGCCAACCCAAACATCTTAGAGATTTGCATACCTCCCTTGCTGCTTCTCAGATAACTGTGCATGCTTCAACACTAAGATTACTGAATAGATAATGCCATTCACGGGAGGGTGCTAGGAAGAAGCCTCTGCTGTCAACAAAGAACCAAACTGGCCCTCTTAACTTTGCCATGGACCACTTGGACAAACCTGAAGGTTTCTGGAAGTCCATTCTCTGGACCGACAAGTCCAGAATTGACCTTTTTGGTCACAATCAACACCCCGCGATGTTTGGTGAAAACCCAACACCTCCTACCACTAAAATAACCTTAACCCAACGGTCAAGCATGGTGGTGGGAATGTCATGATCTGGGGCTGATTTTCCTCCTCTGGACCTGGACGACTCCACATCATTAAGGGATCCATGAATTCTGAGGTATACCAGGAGATCCTTGAACAGAAGGTCAGGCCATCAGTCAAGGATCTAAAGCTGGGCCGAAAATGGATCGTCCAACAAGACAACGACCCAAATAGGGTGTGTAACGATCCATCTACTACATCGATGTATCGATTTAATATTCATATGATCCAACGTACATCGATCTGTGCTCGGCGAGTTGGCCTTTTGGACAACATATATCGATCTAAACATCGTTTTAAAATGTAATAAATTGATTGTATCGATCCTAGGAAATAACCCATTGGATTTAAGCACGTCAGACTTTATATGCAGGGGTGCACATAACTGGTACGCAGATACGCAAGGCGCGACAAAAATCAGGAATGCGTTAATGCCACTTGTGTTACTACGCTGCCTTTGCGTACTTGACCGATCTTCTCATCTAACCCTTACACAGACATTTTGCTTGTCAACTACTGTCAGGGATGTCCAAAAAGCAACAGACATTAACAGCTTCTTTGGCGTTTCGCCACCTACAAAGAAACGCCAACTGGTAGCCATAGCCGAAGAAATACTTTTTTCGGAAAGTGGCTCCAAGATGTGCAGTGGCTTGAAGCTAACGATGAGCGCACTGAAATGTGGTGCAAGATTTGCCGCTCAAATCCACATCTAGCAGACAAAACAGGTGCATTTATAAAGGCTCAAAGAATTTCAACCATCCTTTATTTGACAAACATGAAAAGAGCAAGGAGCACACAAATGTGGCGCAAGCCATTGCTAAAAGCTAGCCGAGAATAAATGTCCAGTCGCCCACTTGCCAGATGGCGAGACAAGCTGAATGAAGAACAGCGGCAAGCTCTGTTTAATATTTTTCTCTTTCCATAAAGCTAAACGCACGCCCCATGTCTTCCTATTCTGAGGATGTTCCTTTACTGAAACGGGTAGGAGTAAATGTCGGAGGTGCATATCATTCACGTGAAGGGGGCACACGGATCATGCAGAGCATCGCTCACACCCATCAGCGGGGAGTTACGAACCAAGTTGCAGTCTGCTGAATTTTGGGGGCTGCTTTTTGATGGATCTGAGGACATCACAAAAACTGAACAGGAAATAGTTTACATTGTGTCTGTGTCCAGCAACGGAGAGTTTACTTCGGACTTTATTGGACTGATTGAATTGGGTGCTGACCGAACCGCACAGGCCATAACAGACGGACTTGTGAGACTTTTCCAGGACACAGGCTTGGATGACTGGACAACAAAGTTGGTCGCTGTGTGCACAGACGGGGCTGCTGTCAACGTAGGTATCTACAACGGCGTTGTGCCAAAACTCCGGCAACATGCTGCGGTTGGAGACTCCCTTGTGCACATTCTGTGCACCGCACACACACTGGAGAATTGCGCGAAATCAGCTGATCGCAACGTTCCTTACTGTGAGACATTTCAATTCATCGCTCTGTGGTCAAGCTGCTGCAGTTTTATTTACAAAAAGGTGGAGCAAAAAAAACTGCTGCACTGAATAAGCTATGTGAGAAAATGGGATCTCCTTTGTGGACTGGGTAAGTTTCATAATACCAGATGGTCTGCATGGAGGCATGAAACACTGTTAAAAATATCAAGACTATTGCCAGCCATTAAAATGCAAACTGGTTACCAGGTATTTATTTCAGTCACACTGGTTGAATTTTGGCTAAAGGTTACTGAATCGATTTCAAGTCACTGAATCATTTCGGATCGTATCGTTCTAATGAACCAATATCGTCCTTGAATCGTATCGACAACCACGAATCGTGATACAAATCGAATCGTTGTTAAAACGAATCGTTACACCCCTAGACCCAAAGCATAAAAGCAAATCTACCAAACAATGGCTCAAGAGAAATAATATTTCTGTTTTGGATTGGCCAAGTCAAGTCCTGACCTAAATGACGAAAATGTAAAATGTAAATCCAATCGAGATGCTGAGTAAGGAGGAGTGCGCAAAAATCCCTCAAATTAGATGTCAGAGACTAATTACTGGCTATAGGAACGTTTAGTCCAAGTTATCGCTGCTAAAGGAGGTGCCACAAGCTATTGACTGAAGGTGTTCACATATTTTTGCACACAACAAATCTGAGTTTCTGTTACAGTGAGGGAAAAAAGTATTTGATCCCCTGCTGATTTTGTGTGTTTGCCCACTGACAAAGACATGATCAGTCTATAATTTTAATGGTAGGTTATTTGAACAGTGAGAGACAGAATAACAACAACAAAATCCAGAAAAACGCATGTCAAAATGTTATAATTGATTTGCATTTTAATGAGGGAAATAAGTATTTGACCCCTCGAAAAAAACTTAGTACTTGGTGGCAAACCCTTTTTTGGAAATCACAGAGGTCGACCTTCTTGTGGTGGCCCCAGTTTGCACCACTCAGGAGGGATTTTTTTCCACTCCTCTTTGCCAGATTTCCCCAAAGTCATTAAAGGGTTTTTCGGGCTGATTTTTGGGCAACTCAACTTCAGCTCACTCCACGAATTTTTGGGGTTTAAGGGGAGACGGCTAGGCCCCCGGCCTTAATGTGTTTTTCTTGAGCCCCCTTTGTTCCCTTGGGCCGGTGTTTTTTGGGTCTTGCATGCGGGAAACCCCATCCACCCCCCTTTTAACCCCTGGCTGGGGGGAAGGGAGGTTCCCCCCAAGTTTTGAGGGGACATGGCCCCGTCCTCGCCCTTTGAGCGGTGAATTTTTTGGGCCCCCCTTAGCAAAAAACCCCCCAAACATAATGTTTCCCCCTCCTGTTTGACGGTGGAGTGGTGTTCTGGGGTAAAGGGCCCGCATTCCCTCCCCCCTCCAAACACGGCAGTTGAGTTGTGCCAAAAAGTCCATTTTTTGGGCTCACGACCACAACACTTTCCCCCCCAGTTCCCTTGAATCATTCGAGTTCTTTGGGAAACTTCAGACGGGCCTGTAATGGTTTCTTTAGCAGGGGGACCTTTTCGGGGGCTGCAGGTTTTTATCCTTCACGGCGTATGTGTTCCAATTTTTTTTTGGTGATATGGGCACGCTAAAGAACAGGGGCAGGGCCGATCCATGGCTGTTCAGGACTCCTCAAGCCCCAAGGGGTCGTCAAAGCTACTCCTTTTTGAAAGTGTGATTAAAAAGTATTTGCAAAAGTTTCATTTAATGTGAAAATGTCACACATACACTGAAGAAAAAAAATATAAACGCAACATGTAAAGTGTTGGTCCCATGTTTCATGATCTGAAATAAAAGATCCCAGAAATGTTCTGTATGTACACATTTGTTTACATCACTGTTGGTGAGCATTTCTCTTTTGCCAAGATAATCCATCCACCTGACAGGTTTGGCATATCAAGATGCTGATTAAACAGCATGATAATTACACAGGTGCACCTTGTGTTGGGGACAATCAAAGGTCACTATAATGTGCAGTTTTGTCCACTACACAATGCCATAAATGTCACATTACATTTACGTCATTTAGCAGACGCTCTTATCCAGAGCGACTTACAAATTGGTGCATTCACCTTATAGCCAGTGGGATAACCACTATATATATTTTTTGTTTTTATGTGGGGGGTGGTGTAAAGGAAGGATTACTTCATCCTATCCCATGTATTCCTTAAAGAGGTGGGGTTTCAAGTGTCTCCGGAAGGTGGTGAGTGACTCCGCTGTCCTGGCGTCGTGAGGGATCTTGTTCCACCATTGGGGTGCCAGAGCAGCGAACAGTTTTGACTGGGCTGAGCGGGAACTGTGCTTCCGCAGAGGTAGGGGGGCCAGCAGGCCAGAGGTGGATGAACACAATGCCCTCGTTTGGATGTAGGGACTGATCA